TTCATGTGTTCATTGCGTGATCGGTGTTCCAAGCTCCTGTGCATCGGTGCTCGCTGTGTCACTGCTCCTTTGTGGGCTTTCACAGAACAGGCTGGAACGGGAGAAGTTCTTGGCCTGGTTATGACTTAGGCCTTCACCTCCTTTGGAGCCTGCACCAAACCACCCCTACTTTGGTTAAGGAGTCGAGTGCCCGTCACAGTAGCCAGAGATAAGGAAGTTGTGTAATTTTCATCCCCTCCCTCAGCTTGGTTCCCCTGGTTTTATGACTTGATAAAATGACCAGCTTTTCCCACAGAAGGCAGATGATTAAGTAAAAACAGGCTTGTTTGTTACAAGAAACCTCTGTCCCAGGCTGCTGCCTTATTTTTATCGGTTTCCCCGTGACCAGCTGCAGAGTGAAGGCAGGGGGAGGATGCCTGTACTGTCAGGCAGGTGAGACGAGCTCCTGCGGTTCTGTTCCCGTCCCTCTCGCAGCTGGAGCGAACTCTCGCCTCCCTGGGTCAGGGTGAGCTCAGAGGGTCGCTGCCTGCCTCGGCCACTGTAGGCAATAAGCTCCCTCCGGAAGGGCAGCGTGCCCACCGCGGCTGCCGTTCAAACCCACTGCGCTGTTAAAATTTAGAATACAAGACTCGAAGCCAAGGCAGGGTGGTTTGACCTACGACGCCTTGCTCAGTTCCCACCTGAAAACTCCACGTGAAGCAATTCCCTCCTTTTTCAGAAGGCTGTCGATCAGCAGCAGCAACGACAGCTCCTTCAAACCAGGCTGCATCGAGAGCCATCTTCCCTCTTCCGCCGCTTCTGCCGTGCCTTTTACGGGGCCAGCTCAGATTACAAGAATCAAAGCAGCTTCTCTCCCCTGTAAAAATGCTACCTAGAACAAATGTCTAATTGTAGCAAACTGAGTGCAGCTAAGTGCCCGCCCTTGTCTTTAGCAGTGCTTTTCTGCGGGCTGGCTACTTCCTCGTTCGCTGTTACTGCAGAGTAGACTGTTCCTTGCTAGGTGACGTGGTGGTTTCCAGCCAGAGGGACATCGCTGCCTCTGGCTGTTAGCTGAAGGCGGTCTATATGATCGGAGTCCCTTATACAGACATAGCTTAGGATCCCATTGTCACAAGAGCTTCCCCGGCACACGGCGTGGCCTCTTGGGTTGGCTGATAAACACCGCTGCGGACTTTGACAGCAGAAGCTGTGTGTGGCCAGCTGGGCTCTGGGGCCTTTTTTTTTTCCTGTCGTTCCTACTGAATGCTGAGAGCAAAATAATTCACAAGTCGGAAAGGTGCCTGCGGAAAACCAGTCACCCGGGAGCAGAAAAACCTGAAGCAGTTTTTGTCTCTTTCCAATCAACGTGCAGAATCTGTGCCTGGTATGGAACAGTACATATTCATGTAGAGAGGGCGATTCCTACCGAGTAGTACCAAATATCGCTTGTATAAAGTGCCGTAGGAAAAAGGCGTGCAGCTGGTGGCCAGACGCTTTGAGCGAAGAGGGTGCTGCAGAAGACAGCGTGATTTTTTAGCTATTACTCCATCTCGTTTCAAGGTGCCTTCAACTTCACCAGAACGGCCTAGTAATTTAAGTATTGTTTCCAAGATCAGCTTGTTAATAGATGTTGAATTTGTTTTGATGCCTTCATAAATTATTGTAATATTACTGAAAAAAACACGTATTACAGGTGGTTTTTTTTACCCTTTCTTTCCTTTTACCCTTTTTCTTTTTTTTCCTTTTCCCCTTTTTTTTTTTTTTTTTTTTTTTTTATCAGCTAACGCCCCCAGAATAGGTCACCTCAACAACAGCCGCTTCTTGTGAGGCAGGAAAGAGCGTAATTGTCTCCTGCTTCTCCCAGGAAAGGAGCTGGGCTTTCCTGGGATACGTTATGGCTGTGCCTGGGAAAACAACCTGAACAGAAGTAAATCCCCGCCACTCTCCCCTCAGTCCGGGAGGCTGGCTGCAGCCCGCTAGTGCCGGTGGGGCTCAGAGCAGACTGGGCTGAAAAGCTAAGCCAGGAATAACTAAAGCTTTACTTAACGAGGCTTAACTCCCTGATGCGGCGTGCTGCGCAGCTCAGCGACCGAGAGGCAAGGCTGGGGCCGCCGCTGTTGCTCCCAGAGGAGCTGCACGTCCAGGCTGGGGGCCGGGTTGGGGTTTGGTGCGATTTCTACCACTGTGAACCTCTTCCCTGACTGGGATGGCAGCGGCCGATGGGCTGGGAGAAAGAGCGTTGCTGTTAACTATACGCTGCGCAACCGTAACGCAGCGAGCCTCTCTCCTCCTGGAGGCCGGGCCCCTTCCGCGCCGTCGGGAGCTGAAGGACCTGCCAGGGGTTCCCCCGTAAGTAATAGCACTCGTGCAAGCGCTCGTCCCTGGCTGTGAAGTTCACCCTCTCGGCGATGCTCAGCACCCGGGGCGTTCTGCGCTTGGTAACGCGCAGGCCCGCTTCTCAGCTCCAGCACTGATGCCACCAGCCCAAGAAGCGGCCTCTTCTTTTGAGAATTAGTAGTCACCATTCAGTAGCCCCAGGAACATGCCCATGAACCCGCAGTAGTTACCTGATGCAAGTAAAGATTATTTCCAAAGCCCCACCTTTAGACTGCTCTAATACATTAAAGGCAAACATTTCACCTCTATTTATTTCATTAGAATAAAACCATTTCAAACTATTTCCCTTAAATTCACAGCTGCTTCTGGCAGTGAAGGACTTGGGTCCATCTGTAAAAGCATTCAGAGAACACGGGAGGAAGCTGCAGCACCAACTCGTTGATCCGAGCTTCTCCGTCCCCTCTCCCACGCCGCCATCCTAAGCCCAGGTGCAGAGCGCTGCAGACTGGACGTGATCACCGGTAATTAATTAGGCCTATTTACAGGTTGAATGGCTTCCGTCACCTCCACAAACAGAGCCAGAGACAAGGGGAGTGGATGTAGAACAGCTCTGTCCACCCACGGAGGGGCACCACGTACGCCTTAGTATGCACGACTGGAAGAAATACTACTGAGCGGGGCCAAACCCTAGCCTTACCTTAGCGTGAAACTCTACTGCCAGCATTTTCCCGATTCAAGACAGGCAAAGACCAGCTCAGGCTGGGCCGGGGGGCGCTGCCTGGCCTTGCCCTTGGCGCTAGCTGCCCTAGCAATTTCAGAGTTCATCTTCTGGGGAAAAAAAAAAAACCCCAGATTTCATAATTACAGACTACAGGCTCTGCACGGAGGCACAGGCACGGAGCCTCGGCCCCTCTCCCGCCTGACGTTCCCACGTCGTGCAAGCGAGGCCGCGCTGCAGGGCGGCACGCTTGTCAGCGCGCTGCAGAGGAGCGTGCTCCCAGGGGGCACGTACCAAGCCTCCTGCACCCTTCTCCCCAGCTCTGCTTGGATTCCTCCTCCGCCCGTGCCATGCCACAACTGGATAAAAGCAAGTTCATCCCGCGTGCCCGGAAAGCCATCGGGCAGTCGCAGCTGAAAGCCACCACCCGGAGCCAGGAGAAGCGCGCCAGGAGCTGGGACTGCTGCAGCTCAGCGAGGCACCGCTGCCCCCGGCTGATGGCCACCCAGGCGACCTGAGACGCGCACACATCTCCCATGATCTCAAAGCACGTTTAAAAAGCCACATTAAAACCAAAACCCAAAGAGAAACCCCAC